AATTAAAATTTTGTATTAAGGAACTTTTCATTTAACTAATGATATGGTATTTGAGATCATATTGAGGGCTCGTGCCAATCGGTATAAAAGTTCTATGGTGAAAAAACTTTTTAGTCTAGTGAGAAAATTTTACATTTCTGCTGTGCCAGTTCGTTACTTTTTACTGCTGGAAGTTTTTGACAGTAGCTCTGGTGCAAAAGAAGAAATGCAGCAATTATATATTTTAAAAAAATATCTGTCTTTACTAACTTAAATTCTTCTAGAACTGAAAGCCAAGCGTTTACTAGACGTCTTAGCAATATCATTAGAGCAAAAATTAAATCGTCAGGTAGATGTGATTCTTGCTGTCAAATTTTTAACTAGGCCTGCCGGCTCGGGAATTTTCATTCTCCTACTACATTACCTAGTTTTATATCAATTGGCACAGACCATAATGGTACCTTATCGGTTTCCTTCAACCGAAAGGAAGTGGTGAAACTAAAGGCAACAACACAAAAATGCAGTGACTTAAAAAAACGCTTGGTGATTGTTTTAATATTTATAAGAGTATTGTTTGCACTTTAACCAAACTCATAAAATTCAAAGGCTCAAGCTATATACAACAGTTAGAAAAATTCAAAAAAATTTGGGTATACAGTTTTACAGCCCATGGAATTTTAGTATAACTAACACTGCGCAGCTACTTATAAGTTCCCGTTGATTTTTAAAAATTTTGCGCTTTTTCTTTTAACAATTACCATTTTGTATACATTTAACGAACGAAACGGGAACGAAAAGTTTTATTAGTTTTTCTAACTAAATACTTTAACAAAAATCTACCCAAATGACACAAAATTTTCCTTCTTACCAACCCACATTTTTTCAAAAATTTTGGTAATAATTTACCATAGTGGCAACCCAGCTCACTACATTCCCCAAAACGGAGCTGTGTCAAAATTGTGCGCATTTAACCTGGTGTTTGTCTCCTTAACTGGGATTATATGAGCCTTATTAAGGAGCTGTTTATACAGTGCAGAGTTAACTAATATTATATTTGAACTGAAAATCTATCGTTCCCTGCTGAATCTGAATGAACTCTCCACTGTAAAAAACGGCCAACCTTTTTGACAAAAAATTACTGTCACCATTCGAATAATTTCGGTTAGTCATTTTCCAGCCTACCCAATGGTGAGTGGTTAGTCGAAAGTAAACGGTTAATCGTACATCTACTATTCGACTATTAACCGACAAAAAGTTGCTGTTCGACTATTCGACAAATCGAATAACCGGTTAGTCGATTTTTAATAAGAGCTCTAGTTTAGGCGCAGGCTGCAGGCTGCAGCCGCAGTAGTAGTAGTTAGAGGTGTGCATGATAATACCACTCGATAGCACCCAGGGTCGGCTTCTGCTTCGGTCGCCTCTTGGCAAGCAATCCCAATAAACATTTGGATTGATGATCAAGTGGAGATCCAAAACAAATTCCAAGGTTGGTTTTCAAGTGTACCTCAATTGGATAACCAACCCATTCTCTAACAAAAGAGCACATTTTTTGCATGCAAAATAATCTGAGTTATCGATTTGAGTAAAGCTCGGTTATCAATTTGAATTCTAACTTTATTCAACTTTTAGTCAAACCTTGGGAAAAATGTAAAAGTTGGAAAAATGTTTGCTTTGTGCATATTGGGATGTCAAACTTCTTCGAGTGTATTACATGTAGATATGTATGTATAATAATACATATGTACATATGTACATATACTATAAATGGCTAAACGCCGGCAAAGTCGTCTAAAACGTGATTCGAATAAATTTCATATTTTTAATTGTAATTTGAATTTTAAATGATTGGATTCACGCTTCGTCGTCGCTGATGCGAATTGTTGCATTGTATTGGTCATGGCGGCATAGAGACGCGCGGCGTTGAAACATTTAATTGTCTTGTTAAATTAGTGTTTTTAAAAATGTGGTACCGGCTTCGGCTGCGACTGCGACTGTGACTGTGACTTTGGCAACGGCGGTGGCACACGCGCGTGAACTCAAATTGCGATATTAGCTTGGAATGTCAGTTAATGAACTTGGCTTAAACTAGGCGTTGCGAAGCGACACACCGTGACCACCGACTACGACTGTGACCGCGACCAAACCACCACTAAAACCACCATTAGCAACAAAAAAAAAAATGCAATTCAAAAGAACGCACGCTTCAATGCGACCACCACACAGGCCTCGTCTCGCTGCAATTTATTCTCGATTGCAGAGCGTTTTTGACATATACATTAGGGTGCCTATCGCTTTTTAAGACCCTGCCCCCTAATTTACTTCCTTTGTATGAGAAATTATATTGCCTATTTTTATAGATTTTTTAAAAATCATTTAGAGGTCGCGACTTCTCATTTTAGGTCAAAAAATACGGTTTTGGAGATTCATCAGTTTTTTCATGACTATTTTTTATTAGATCTTAAAGGCTGCTAATTTCCACAATTTCAAAATATGTTGTATTATCGAAGATTAAATTTATTTTTAAATAAACTGATACCCCATTTATTGAAATCGAATAAAAACTGTCGAAGTTAGGCAACTTTTTTTAAATACAGCCTTGAAATTATTTATATGTGTCTGAGTACTGGACTTTTATATATTTTGGGCAGTGTGGCTAAGGAATTCATCAATATTTATTCGAAATTCAAAAAATTGTTTAAAATGGAAAATCGCCCACTTATATTATACATATATGTGTATCTGAAAAACTATTCCAACGATCTCGACCAAATTTGGTATACAAATTGCGCTTAGGCTTTTTAAGCAACATCTTGAAATATATCTAGCTTTGAGTTTTTTTTTTTAAATTACCGTTACGTGGGTGGAGCCCCTGACTTTTATCCGATTTCAAAAGTTTTAAAGACTATGTATAAGGAGGCTAATGGCAATGTGTATGCCAAATTTGGTCACGATCGATGAAGTAGTTTTTGAGGTACACATACGTGATATTAGTGGGCGGTGCCACCCCCATTTTCTTAAAATTTTTTGAAAAAACCATATTTTGAAATTGTGGAAATAAGTGGTAGTCAAAATTTTAAAAATTATGAAAAAATTGTGTTTTTTTCCCCCCGATGAAAGCGCCCAACAATCCAAGTCTCACAATAGATTATACCTCATTTTAGAGGCATATAAATCCTTTTCGCACAACATGTTCGATATTTAAAATCGAAGGAAAAATAGTCATTCAAACACTGATAAATCAAAAAACCGTATTCTTTATCTAAAATGATAAGTCGCGACCTCTTAATGATTTTTAACAAATCTGTAAAAATAGGCAATAATATTTCTCATAAAAAGGAAGGAAATTAAGGGGGGAGGGTCTTTAAAATAAAAAAAAAAAATCCATGGGCACCCTAATATACATACGTATACGTACATATGTACTTATATTTATGTATATGGATGTATACATGTGTCTGCATTGTGCGCTAAATATTACAGATATATATATATATATATATATATATATATATATATGTATTTTTATTCATACATATGAATTTTTTAACTTTTTTTTTGTTTTAAAGCTCACGAAGGTAACAGTTCGCGGCCACTTGGAACGTCAGAAAACAACACCAGACGAATAACTTTAAGAACAAAAATAAAAACAGAAGAAAAGTGAATATACACTCAAATTTAAATTTATTTAAGTTTAGTGGCCGTCTCACTTTTGATGCGATGGAATTATCTACATTCTGCCATGACTGCTTGAGGCAGGGTTGCCAGGTGTCCGGTTTTTGAAAACCCGGATACTTTTCGTTTGGCGAGGGGATGAAACGGGAAGAGGGATCACACACTTCATAGTCCGTTTTTTTATTGTCACCCGGACGAACAGACTAAAATCCGGACTGTCCGGACATCTGGCAACCCTGGTTTAAAGTTAAACCCTTCGCTTGTGTCCATACTACAAATTGGAGGTGAAGCTCATCCAAGTTTAGGTTAAGCTCAACTTGCAGCTGGTGCTACTGTCAGAACACACAGGCCTACTACAGAGATGTCGAAACCTCTATTTCTCTTTGAACTATGTAGTTCGTGGATTCAACGAATGTTAGTAATCGTCTCCTTTGACGTAAAAACAAAAAACACTTGGCACTCACATTTTTGATAAGTTGTTGGCCGAGCTTACCCTCCAATTTGTGGTCTGTGTCTTGATATTTTAACAGAGTATCTTCCTCATCAATTCAACTTCTACAAAAAACATTTTAGAGTACTGCTTACTACTCCGCGTGTCTCCGTGAAAGCATGCGACCTGTAAATAGTTACCTGTCTAACGATATTCTCCCTCCTTATTAGCGCGTCGAGATGATGCGATATTCTCATGTCCCATTCTGGCCAAAAGAGCTCGGGTGTTCCCAATTTGTACGTGCTTCTCTTAAGAATAACTGCCTAATCTTGAGACTGCAGAAAGCGAGAGACGGGCCCAACTTTTTCCAAGTACCCTTTTTTCCAAGCCCGTCTGCTTACTATTTTCCACTTTTGATCTTCTCCGACACTTGGTGATGTGATTATGGGCAAGGGCCCCTTTGTTAAAATTAAGCAGCTAGAGAAACCAAACCATGCGAGGCTTTTCGGACGGATTTAGATGAAATTAGGCACACAGATCGCGTGACTAAACTTTTGAATATTTTTAAATTGTTAAATTAAATTTTTGGGTAATGCCAACTATCGCTTGGCCATATTTTAATTGAGGTACGGAAATGGCTATTCCACAATCTAATTGACCATAATTAAAAATCGACGGGTCATCAATTTTCGACTCTAAATTGCCTATACTAACTACTAAATATTGCTGACCATTTTGGTTTCTACTTACCCGTTACTTGTATATAACTATCGACGAGATTTTCGTTTACCAAATTAAAATGCCTGAAATATGTTACGTTACCGTTAATAATTTTGCATTTTATTATTTTGTGTTTTGTTTTCTTGCTGGTATTTTTTCATTTTTGGAAAGTTTTAAATTTTAAAAACTAGATAAATAATTATTTCTAATTTTATGACTAAAAAATTATTACATATGTATGTATACATATTAAATATTTAAATATATTAACATATGCATGTATGTAAATAAGTACCTACACAAGTACAAGTTACATACTCTACAAATTGGGAAGACCTCAAAGATTTTATTGTTTTCGATTGTTTTTTTTTAACATCTGTTGTTGTTGTTATTCTGCAATTCTAAATACATACTTGCACTATTTATACATAAATAGGCGTCCACACAAATATTGGTATGGTATTCATGGTATGGTTCGCGCACAATGTATGTATATAACGAACATGTACAATTAAATTGGAAAATGGAAAAAATAAAATTGCTAATAAATGAAGCAATGTGTATTGCAAACCATAAATCATTTGCATTTTTCATTTGAAATTATAAATAATTAATGACTAAATACACCGACGATACGTCAATATTAGTTATTCTAATTGTAATACTCCAATGAGATAGCTGAGAAATTCAAATGAAGCGCCCCTGAGGCGCGACAAACCGCAAATTCGCCCCTGTATTGCTGAGGTAGTGGTTACTTAAGTCACTTAAGTGCTGTCGATCAATGCTTTCGTGCTTGAATCATTCCGATGTTGGTATTTCTGGATGCATATCGGCGTGTGCTCAGCCGGCGGAACGCGTGCGTCACACCCAGTGGCTGCTTTGCTGCCTGTGTGATGGTCGATGCTGAGGTGGCGCGCGCGATCTGCCAACGGATGCGGATATTTTCAACTTCAACGTCATTTACACTAAGGCAAGTGCGCGAAATGAGTCCGAATAAACTTTGTGGGTGCCGTTGACTTTTCGCCAGATATCCCAATGCATTCCACTGCCACCATCTGCTGGCGAACGCAACCGCCTCGCCGCCAGCTATTATCTGCTCTTCTAGCTTTGGTATTCATCACGTCTGCCCCTCGTTTCTATGGAAAGGGGGCGTTGACCAGTTCTTTTGGTGGGTGCGCGCGCGCGGCTGGCGCCAGCCTCTTCACCATGGCCGCCAAGGCTGTTCATCCTCCACTTTAATGTCCTTCTTGATTACCAGCGAGAGCGGTTGCTGATTTTGCTGTTGTTGTTGCTGCTGCTGCTGCAGATGTTGTTGTTGTTGTTGGGAAAGCGTTGGCGCATGTTGAATGACTGAGGGTTTGCAGTCCATGGCCTCGTACGAGTTGGCGGGGCTGGGGGGTGCGTAGTGCGTCACACTGTTGGCCGGCGAACAGATGGTGCGCTCATAAACGGATGAGCTGTGCGAAGAGGCCGAGCTGGTGGAGGCGGTGCGGGTGGGCATGGTCATTAGTGCGGCGGCGGCGGCGGCAGCTTGAGCTGCGCTCAACTGTTGGTGCTGCATGTGTGTTGTTGTGTGCTGCTGCGCCTGCTGTTGGTGGTGGTGCTGCTGATGTTGCGGCAACACCAGCGCTATGTTGCCATTGGGAAGTTTGGTGGGGATCACTTGCAGGCCATTGGGCAGGAAATAGCCGTTCATTGTGTGCTGCAACTGCGCGCCCAATAGGAAGGGATTACCAGCGGTGGCAGCAGCAGCGACATGTTGATGCTGCAGATGGTGCTGATCCTGTTCGGGCGAGCTGGGTGGTGAGGGCAGCATCTGGGATGGAGCGCTTGCCATTTGCCGCTGGTGCTGGTGCAGCTCGGACTTAACGCCGTTAATGCAGTTGCTGAGGTGCTGAAGCAGGCGACGTTTCACTGCGGGATCCAGACCAGGGAAGCGGCTGACCTCGTTGGCACAATCAGCGAAACCGGCCTTGAATTTATTGATGACCTTGGGGTCGGCGGCTTGCTGCATAGCCGCCTGTTGGCGCTGAAGTTCTTGCAGATGCTTCACAGTCTTCTCCAGAATGTCGGCTTTCTCTAGTTTTGAGTGACGCGCAGGCTGCAGATAAACAAGGAAAAAAACGAAAGCAATGCTTTAAAATCAATTTGAGCAAAGGTGGTTGGGGGAGGATGTTGTGGAAGAGTGCAAAGTATCGCAGTGAAAATAATGAAATGGCAGTCGAAGTTATACTATTAAGTGTTTTTTAAAGTATACTTACGTCTTTTTTGGTCGCGTCCAGAATCAGTGTTTTCAGCTCATTTAGGCAATTGTTGATGCGAGCGCGTCGGCGTTTTTCCATAATTGGTTTATTTGACTGCAAGAAACAGAGCAAAAACAAAATTTTTATTACTTCTGTGGAGGCTGCTGATTCAGAGCTTATTGCTGATTTGCAGTTTGAATGCAATGCACTTTCCAAACCCAAAATAGATCGATGAGCGCACACAGCCGCCTAACACCGCCCACCGCGCGTGAACAATGCAACGTAGAATGGCCCTCAGCGTCGTCGCTATTGAAATCACCTCCACCGCGAGTGCTCGCCCGCGGTCGTTTTGGCATATGGCTGTAAAGCTGCGGGGCAGCGCTGTGTGCCATTAATGCCATTGACGGCGGCGCACGCTCGCGCCTCAATTGGATATACAAGCAATTATGGCACTTGGCCAACAAGCAGCGGTGCGGCGGTGAAGCGCTGAGGTGCCGACAATCCCGTGCGTTATTTTAAGTGGAATGAGTGTGTTGGCGACTAAAAATAAACCGCCTGCACGTCCGTAATGAAATTCTTAGCGTATTGGCGCGTCGCCACCGCAAACACCAACGCCATCACCCCTCCGACACCTGGTTAACGACCGGTCGGTCGGTTGGTCGGTTGGTGGTGGCGATAAGTGTCATTAAGTGCCAAAAACGCGCAAACAACAATAATAAAAGAAATTTGTAGTGGTTTAATGAAAGCATTGCGGCAAACGGCGAGTTGTTATTGTAGACTCGAATTGTGTGGCGGCGCACCGCCATATGTGAGGCTGACCAATTCGAGAAATGGTCGAAAATAGCGCCGAATTGTTTGAAAATACTAAAAATACGCACACGTTCAGGCATGCGACGTCGTTAAGTCATTTGTATGACCACTAGGCAAACAAGCCTAATGCCTACAAGGTCGCTTGAGAAAGCGAATTGTGTTAGTTGTTTGCAATGAAATTACGCTCGAAATTTTTCAACACTCCGAAATTCTCAACTAAATTATAAAGAACGTTCTTTAAAAGGCTTGGGGGGGGTGAACAATTTTTGTTTCAGACAGGCAGTTTCAGACATTAATATTAATTTAAAATTAAAAGTATTTTCACTTTTTTTTAGAAATGTTAAAGTTACCGAGAACAGTGAAAATGTAAAGAATTTTTTTAAAGAAATTGTGAAGTTCCACTTTTTTTACTCCTACTTGGAATTTCTTCTTTTTAAATCCATTTTTAAACTTAGAGTTGCTTAGCAAATAACTGGGTTTGAAAGTTTTTAGTCCAAGCAAGTTTTAGTCCAAGAAAAATTGTTAACAGATCCGTTCGAGCACTTTTCTTGATTTTGTTGCCTTGTGTGATTCAGTGACTAATATTCCTCGAAATTCTGCCACTATTAAATTGTTTGCTTTGCGTGCGCCAAATCGGCGGCGAATTTTCCCCCACACACACGCGGCAGACTTTAGCCAACCTACCAAATGGTAGGAGTCGGCGTCCGCTGCAGCCACTAGAGCCACACAAGACAACTGTCCAAAAAAAGTCAACAAATTCCAAGACGGCAATTAATTCAGCGCACGGGCGGGCGCACCGTACCGCGTCATCACAAGTGAAGTCATCAAAATGTTCCAATTACGTTGCGCTGCAGCCGTTATGGGATGAATGAGCGGCCCAATCGTCGGCTAAAGCGCGTAGGAAAAGTAGTTAGCAGTTGGCGTCCGCCACAAGCCAATTTTGTGCGAGCACCGTAGGCTTTGTTTGCGTTGGATGCTTTGGATGCCTTACACGGCGCAGCAGCGTTGACTGAGCTTCACGAGTCAGTTGCTGGTGGCTGGTGGCACTTGGCTTTCCCAAAACTGGGAACAACGCGCACCAACCAACCAATCGCTCACGCCAAATGCAAACAGTCGTCACCACAAAAAGTCGACGCGACAACAATAACAGCCAACAGCTGGCGTATTGTGAATGAAATCGTAAAAAGCCACAACCATGCACGTCGCGCCGTTTAAGTCGCAACGGTAACATAGCGTGGTTGTAGGCCGCGCGCCGGATTTGGATTTGGGGCAAACTAGCGCTACATATAGACATAACAGACACTCGAGTGTGGGCAATTTCAATGGAGCGTGGCGTGGCGTGCGTGCGTGCAGCGTGTGAGTGGGGGACAAATGGTGTTGTCGAAGCATCGCTTGCCTGAAATGGCAAGCAATGACCAGTGTCCAGTGAGTGGTGGCAGGTGGGTGTAAGGCAGCGAGTAACGAAATTTCGCAAAGTTTGTTAAAATGCGCAACAGCTTAATTTTTCATTGGCCAGATGATGGATGGCTTTGTTTGTAATATTTGTTTTTGAACAACTTACCCGACGATCGCTTTTGACGGTTGGTGCATCTTTGAGCGTTGGCGCAACCGGAGCTCCAATAACGTTGGCTGTCATGCTTGGGTCAGCTACTCCAGTTACCATTTTAATTGTAAAAATCACAAAACGCAATTTATTTTTCACGAATTTTTAAAGCTTTTCAGTGTTTTTATTTTAAGTTTCTTTGTTCAGTTGTGCATTTACATATATTTATTTATAGCATACACATTTACAATTAATTGAATGTTCTGATGTTCTGCAAAATTTTATTTTCACTTTCTTCTTTAGAAGTTCACGTCTTTTTATTTTTTTTCTCTCTGATATTTTTCACCACTTTATTTATTTTTTTTTTTAAGCGAGCTCGAGCTTAATTCACTTTCGTTTAATACGAGGTTTTTCCGTTCGATAATGTCTTCCGTTCACTCGCAACGTAATTTTCTTTTGACTTTTATAGACTTAAACGCGTGCGCTACTTCCGACCAAGTCTTCTGCTCACTTCGACGTTCGTTCAGCAAATGAACTCAATGTTCTAGTGGCACCGCGATTAAAAGACTCGTCAACTGGTCGTTCGGCCCAGAGTCGATCGATTGCTACCTCTGCTGGCTGATTGTTGCTTGCTTGGTTTGCCTGCTGTTCGCTGCCTGCGCGCGTTGATTCGGTTGCTGGGTATTTTCGCTGCGCGTTTGGGTTCTATTTGTGTGCTTCGTATCTGTGTTGCGGAATTTTTAGGAGCTGATTACAACGTCAGCGAGGCGGTTGGTAGTGGTGGTCGACGCGATGTTTGATGTTTATCGTTTGGCACTCAGCGAACGACTGACGCTTGATCGACAGGTTCGTTGGCTAAATCACTGTGCCGCAGCGATGTGCCGGGGATCTACGGTAATGGCAAAGGCGAGGGCGCAGGCGACGTTCGAATGGCTATGCGGTGGCGCACTGCAAACAGGTAAAGTTCGGCGTCAGCGGCGCAGAGATCAGAGGTGAGGCACGACCGCACGACGGAGGTGCTAAGCAGGGTTGCCACTTTGGTAAATTGTTACCAAAATTGGTAGAAAAAATTTGGGTTGGTAAAAAGGTAAATTTTTTTTCATTTTGGTAGATTTTTGATGAACATTCCGTTCCCGATTTATTTTTCGTAGTTATCTTTAAATACATTATAAATTTGTTTGCATACTTTTTATATAATTACATACGTATAAATGTATATCGATATAAGGCGAACATATCGCGCTCTATTCAAAACTAATTTTACTGGAATCTGCTTTTGATTGCCTAAATATTTTAAATGATTATTTAAATATAAAAAAAAAATTGACAGGTATGTAATTACGCACTATTATTGTTCGCAAAAAACATTAAATCAACGCCATTTTCTGTCAATGGAAAAAAAAAAAAAATAATCAACGGGAATTTTAAGCAGCACATTGTTGGCTATACTCAAATAGTATTTGCTTTAAAACTCCATACCTTAAATTGTTCTAAAAATTCAGAGTAAACAATTCGAAATTTAGACGAAAATTTTTGGAATTTTTCTATATGTTGTATATAGTTTGAATCCTCGATTTTTATGGATTTAGTGAAAGTAATAAAAAAATTTACTCGAAAAATATTGCGAATATTAAAAAAAAAAAATAATTTTTTTTGAGTCACTGTATTTGTCTATAAAACCTCGAGTTGAACTTTTCAAATAATAAAGTTTCATTGTTGCCTTTATTTTCATCACTTCCGCTTTTGGTTGAATGAAACTTAGAATATGACAATATTATGACTCAAATACCGTATAACTAGTTAAATAAAAAGTTCTTGAAAACAATTTTAATTCTTATTGAAATAACTAAAAAAAATAGTTTTAATTCAAATAAATAAAAAAATAACTAAACTATAGTTTTTATTAAAATAATTACAAAAAGTTATTGGTAGATATTTCCCAGATTTGGTAGATTTTTTTTAAGTGGATGGTAAATATTTTTTTTCGTCAGTGGCAACCCTGGTGCTAAGGCAAGCGCAGCCACACGACCAAATATACGATCGACCAACGGAACGGAACGTGTGTCCGTCCGTCTGTCTGTCTGCTTGCTTGGCTGCCTGCCGGATGCGCGAATTGTATGCCAACGTAGAGTGGGTGAGCGAAGATCAACGGCGTGCAGGGGCGTTATGACGTGGCTGCGGTGGCGGCGAAGGCGGCACGTATTTTTTTGGAGGTTCTGATGGCTGTTGCGGTGTGTTGTTTTTAGATACGAACAGGCAAACAAGTCATTGATTGTGTGCCGACTATGTGAGTGACGTACAACTGCGGCTGTGAGCGTAGAAGCAGACTCAATCGAGCGCCGAAGAGGCACTAACGGGCAGCGAAATAATTTGAGTGCTGCGCGCGTTTGAGTAATTTATTTTCCGTGCTTTGAGCGCACTCTATGCAATGGGTTTTCTGTTAACAGTTGTGCTTTTTTCGGGTGATTCATTTCCAAGTTACGGTGACTTACGAGTATTCGAGCAGGTAACGAGTGCCATTTGGAGGCCAACAAAAATTGGGGGAAGTACTGAATTCGAGCAGTGCTCAAAACTTTTTTGTGCGAAGGGAAATTGTATTTCGGACTTACCAATGGCCAATGTTGACCCCACAAGTAGCCCTGTACCTCTTTGTCCTTGTCCAGTCTTGGCCAGATGTGTTGAGCTATTATAAAAAAAAAGTTATTAAGCCTTACCGCCTGCGGAACAAGATTTGTTTCAATCAATCATAGCGGAATTTTCTTCATATCTGAAACAAGCCATAAAGATAAAGCAAACGGAATCTTAGCTTTACTGACAGCCCTCGTAATTATATGTACATCACTTCCCGCTTTATGAATTAGCCTAGCCTCCTCAGTCCCGAGACTAAAATAATTGAAAAACTAAAAAAAAAATCATGTTTTTGCGTTATATTCTTCCCAAATAATTAGAAAACCCATTTTTTTTTTATTGTAGCATATAAGGATTCTTAGCACTGGCAGGTGCAGCCAGCTGGACATTTGGATCGTATGCCAACGAAAAAGCAACTAATTTTTAAATTAAGAGTATTTTAAAACATTCAGTTAATTTCAATAAACGGTTAACTTAGTACTAATTTCTTACGAAGGGAATTCCATAAAACAGTGTCTATCGCTGGCAATGCACAAAAACACATTACAAGAAACGCATTTGAATCTGGTTTTTTGGTTACATCCTTCTTTACGGCATCTCATAAATTTGTTTTTATCCTGGACACCACAGATGGGTAAGTGTCTATTTTCAGTCCTTCTCACATCTTTTGGGGGTAGGGGCTGTATGGACCTAACTCTTTTTGTTGAGACATCGTCTTCGATTTCGATGTCACTTAGCCTTCTTTTACCAGCACATGCGGACAAACATTCTCCTACGTACATCTTAAAATCTAATAGGTCCATCAACTCGCACCTCCTTGCACCACAGGAAAATTTGTCTTTTTTATAAAGAACCCAGGAATTACACAGTGCGAGATCAACCATATGCCAAAAAACTCGTGTGGGCCACTTCTTTGTTCTGATGTTAATACGGTAATAGGATATCAACCTGTCCGCAAGATCTACGCCTCCCATTGACGTGTTGTAACTTGCTACGAATACGGGGACAATTGACATTTATGTAATTTTTGGCTTTCTTATCCCATCGACGAACAGATATAAGTGGTCGTGCTCCAGTCGACGTGGCCGCCATTAGAACCGAACGACTGTCCATCCATTTTACAATTGCTAGTTTCTCATCTTCTCTCACAAATTCATTGAAGGTACCTCTGCCTCTTTTTAGAAGATCATGGTCGGTTGAAAGTTTTGTTCGCAGTTCTTTGGGGATTCGGTTTTGTTGAATCGTGCCCGTAGCATATATTCCATTTTCCAGCAAAAACTCTAGTAGTTTTATCGAAGTAAAATATCGGTCAATAAATATTTCGCTGCCTTTACTAATATTTTCTGCAAGTCTTTGCACTACTGTTCCTCCGATACCTAAATCGTGGTTGCAAGATTTTTCAAACCAACAGGACAGGGTTTCCCCTTAACATATTGTTTCAATTGCGTGGTACCAGAGAATGGAATCATTTGTTCATCGATGCTCAGTTTTGCTGGCTTTGGTAGCAATTGACATTTTTTCAAAACGGCTTTTATTATTGGTTCAACTTTCCACAATTTGTTGTTTTCTTTTTCTTGTGGTGTAGCTCTTAAGTTGTCGACAAAATGCATATAATTTCTTAATTTAAAAAATCTATCACTTGGTATCTGTGTAATGGCTGGAACATTAATAGCAGGTCGGCAGTACATCCTTACGCGCGGAAGTTTCATGCAACCAGCAAGTATGTGGGCCCCAGATAGTTTCTTGTACTCATTATAGTTTGAATACAAATTTTAGACGTTTTCTAGAGCGTACGTATTACTTTGTTGTGAAATTTCGCGCCAAAAATCGTCGTCAAAATACTCCGAGAAATATTGGAAAGGTGTCCACTCAAATCTATCTTCTGCGTTCCATGCCTCGTCGGCAGCGGGAGTATTACCCACGACAAATTCTTTGGCTAGCCGTTTAAGCGGTTTTTTATTTTGAAGATTTGAGGGGCTTTCATTTGCATCAACCAACTCTTGTTCAGCAATATTTTCTTCTTCATTATCAGATTCTGCATTGTAGTCAGAATCGGAATCACTTGAAGAAGCCACATTCGAACAATTAGGAACGAGTTCCAAGTCTTCATCGTCGGACAAACCTTCAAAATCACTGTCCATGAGCATCTCCATCACCTCTTCTTCCGTAAAACGTTTTTTCGACATGATAGCTACCAAATGTCCAGCCCACTGAACATTTAAGAAACAGTATTCATATCCGAATTTTAATAAACTTATTTAAAAGATTTTTTATTTACCTTAAAGAACAAGTATTTTTCGATTGAATTTAATAAAATATTAAATTTTATTTGAAGAAATATAGCGAAAATATTAATTTGAAATTACATTCACAAGGACCACACGTTTTTTCAAATAACTGTTCACTTCTTGGATCGTATTACGACAGTATTGCCACAAACGCAAAAAAAAAAACAATTCAATTGTAAACTTAAGATGTCCAGCTGGCTATAAAGTTGGATCGAATTGAAATAAATTTAAAATTTTTTATTATATGTCCATTTAAAAAGTGTCCAGCGTGCTACACGCGAGGACCGAGGAGGATAAAGCTGTCAATTTACAACGAAGCGGAGCTTGAAGGGCCGTTTTCGAACATTCCTTATCTGAAGAAATCCGTTTGCCGAAATGATAGCAATGGTAATAGGCTAATAAGTAGACGCTTAACAGTTTTTGAGCAGAATTTTTGAATGATGGTGCAACCATTGTCATTTTGTCTGATTAAGGAGAGTATCATGGGCTCTAGATGGTGAGAGTGCAGCGATACCGAAATAAGCATGCTCGCCGCCCTTCGCACTAACGTTAATGAAACATATGGCTTGGTTATAGTTACAAAGCTATTTTCTCAACGCAGTGTACTGTCTTTAATTTGCGTCTCCATCCTTTACCTATGGCGGACTTTCAGGCGTATACGGTAATATGTAATAGCATTCTTAGAACTTTCTTCATGACCATGGAGGGGAGTTGAAATTAGTGAACGTTATTGAAGGCACTTTCAAGGCCTAGAGACCCGTCTAAGGCAAGTTTCTTGAAGAATAGAACTTTATTGATTTGAGCGACTATATGGCGGAGCGCTGTGTTCATAGCGTATGCTGATACTTTGATAGCTTAATGGGGTCTTCATCTGGACAGATGTACTTATTGAGCAATCTTTCTAGCGCTTTTGGAAAAAGCAGCGTAAGATTGATGGTCGAAAATCATTGCGTTTCCGCTGGCAGGAACGGCTGCCTTTTGGAATGAAGAGCACTTCATTCGTTGGAAATGTAGGCCGAGTCAAGACTAGCGCTATAGCCATGTAAATAAATT